GATGCGGTTGTAGATGCTCACGAACTTACTGCTCAAGTGAAACAGTTAAAGCCGTTATTGCAACCACCGGCTAAACATGCTCACACTCCTCTCATTCAGGTATGGTTTTTAAACTAACATCAGGCGAAGTTTTGTTCTTGTTTCTGTAAGAAGCATGTGGTGGAGGAAAACGGCATCTGAAAAGTTCGGGCTGATGTTCGAGCTTTTCAATGTTTGGAATGATTCATGGTTTGCGATATTAAAAAGTGTGAAGAAAAGCAGATGTCCTCTCAGCTGCTCTAGCAGCAGGATGATTCATAAATAGCATGCGGGTGATCAGGGAGATCACTTTTACTTTTCTTGCTAGTTTATTAGTTTTCATTCTAGCAAATCAAACGTAACGATGTGAATATCTTTGCCATAAGCTCTACTTCTTCGATATCCGAGTTTGAAATCATTAGCATCACTTAAAATTGTTCTCACAAATATCAATAATTAATCAGTTGTTTCAAATCTTTTAGTCTATTTTCTGTAATTCATCTAATTTGCTGCGCGTTTTCTGGTTTCCATATGTTGCGCTGAACAAATTCTTAAGCTTTCAATTTATGAGACACATTCCAGCTTTGTTTTAGGTAGAACGAATTCCAAGGAATTTAGGTTTTTTCCGATAGTACTACGAATAGTTTATTAGCTTGAAATTGGAATTAGATTTTTTTGTGCTTTCATTATCAATTCAGTGGTTTGACTATCCATCTGATCCGTAGTTCCTATTAGAATTTATCACATGGTTCTTGAGCTATTAGAATTTTTAATCTTTACATCTTCTCACTTTTTCAGGGAACAGTCCCAAAGGAGACTGCAATAGCTACTCATGCCGCGTTATCAGGCTTGTCACCTGAAAAAGAGAAGAGGTAGGATTGTGTTTTGGTCGTCTTTTATTATTTTATTTTTTTCTACTTTCTTCACTTGACAAGCTTATCTTCTAGTCTCTTTTTATTTAAAGTGATTATGCGCATTTCTGTAGACTCAGAGAACTCTACGAACGTTTGGACATAAATAATGATGGCACAGTTGATATACGAGATCTAACAGCAGCGCTGAAACATGAAATGCCGCATATTCCTACACGGCTGGCTCCGGTTAGTTGGAGATCACTTACAGCTCAAGTACATTTTCTAATTATAAGAGGAATATTTATGTTTTTGAAAGAAACTCTTGGCTCGCATCTCACCTGGGGAAGACGGCAATATCAATTTCGGAGATTTTGTCAAATATGTGGTTGAACATGAGAAAACACTGGAGGTCATATTTCAGGACCTTGATAAGAATAATGACGGTGAGAAGGCCTATGTTTGATGAACGCCAACATGTTTTTCGTTGTTTAGGGATCATTGACGTTCGAGAGATTAAAACGTTTTGTAATGATCTCGGAATTCCTCTTGATGATAGAAAAGCTCGAGATATATTGCAAAAGTGAGTCGAATTTTGCCTTTCTCCTATCCGTCACTTATTAGAATGTTTTATACAGCTGTTGTCAGCTATTCCATAACAGCGTCCTAGTTTTTCAATTGTTTCCCCCCACTTTTTCTTCAATTATATGGTGATTCTTTTTTCCTTTTCGGAAACACTTGGTCTTACTTTGATCAATTTTATTTTTTTGCATACAGAGTTTTCGGCGTGTGGCTGTTTAGGATGTCCGAACAATCAGACTCGTCGTGTGTAGACCTTTCCGATTTTCAACAATTTATGCTTCTTTACCCAAGCTCTGATGTCAAAGATATGGTCGACTTTTGGCGGCACAATCTCGTAAGCCCCCATCTGTTAATTTTGATGTTCCAGAAACATTTTGTTTTAGGTGATAGACATTGGAGAGGACAGTCAAGTTCCGGAAGATTTTACTGACCAAGAAATGATATCTGGAGTGTGGTGGCGGCACTTAGTAGCTGGAGGTGTTGCTGGATGCATGTCAAGAACATGTACAGCGCCTCTTGATAGGCTCAAGGTGTTCATGCAGGTGCGTTATCAAAGTGTGAGGAGCACGCACCTCCTCAATTGAAGATGATTATATAGGTCTTTCCTTTTAAGTGAAGGGGAGGGGATCGAAAGTCGAGGGAGGAAAGGGGAGGCAGGAGAAGGGGACTTGTGCTCAAGTTCTTGCCATCCTCTCCTTCGTCGTATTGTGCAGCACTTTCTATAACAAAAAATTATCAAGTGCTCTTAGCAATTGCTGCGTGACCCCTCAGAACCTCTTTGATGTTGTGAATTAAAAAATAAACTGATTTGCTAGGGTAACAAGATTAGGAGATCCCCCCAATAATATAGGAAAACTTCAATATTCGATACATTCCAGAGAGATCCAAGCCTTTAAACAGAGTAACCAGATAAAAGCTTGTAATTTTCTCCATTGAATAGTTGCGACAGGGTTATATCCGAAATGTTCTTGTGCTATGGTTTTAGAATATAG